CCACGTCTCCAAGGAGTCTGTCCTGCACGTTTAGAAGGAAGTGTTCCCCTCTGTGCGGAGTAAGCGGAGCGTCTTCTGAAAACGGTGGCTGCGCAGCAGATGCTAATGATCCTGAAAATCAAAATGGCACAGCTGGTCGCTGGGACACAGGGCCTTCCCCAGGCTCGTGGAGGCGAGCCACTGTGTGGCCCAAGCCCCGGAAGGCCTGGGGAAGACATCAGAATTCCCTGGGAGAGGAGCTGTGTGCCTGTGGCCGCGTGGTGACAGATCACGATGAGTTCTGTGGTGCGTGGAAGAAGGGCCTCATCCTCCCAGGGCCGCGGCCCCGGCTGTGCAAGCGGCCGTGGAGCGTCGTCGAGTGGGCATGCAGTGAGGGCGGCACAGGCCTCCTGAACACAGCCTCGCGTTCACCGGGTGAGCACCAAGGGCAGTCTGAATGTGACTAGTTGGGGAGGACGGCTTCCCCTGGGGTAGGTGTGGCCCCTGTTGAGGACCACCAACAGCTCCAGCATCCCCAGACATCAGACAGGCCCTTTAGGAGACACACCCTGTGAGTGAGGGACTGTGGGCTTACCTCATCTCTTCCTGGCCAGCCTCAGGGCCACGGCGGGGTGCGGGGAGATGCCCCATGCAGGCACTATGTGTGGGGGGGGGGCCATTTAGTCCTCTACACAGGAGCATGGTTCCCCAAGGAGTATTTAAAGGGGCTGGGGAGGCAGTGCCACATGTTGGTAACTGGTTCCATTTCCTAGGCACTGAAGATTGTTTCCCAGCAACCCCTGCGGCTGAGTCTGAGCAAGGGGCTTGGGCGCAGTGATGCAAGCCACCGGCGGCTCTGGGCTGCCCGAGCGTCAGCATTTCCTCAGGACGTCTCTCTCTCAGACTGGGTTGGTAGAAGCAGGTTATCAGACCTGTGTGGGACCTTTTGTTTGGAGTGAAAAATAAAGTTGTATTGTATCTGACTACCAAGATTCTGGCTGTTTTCATAGCCTGGCCTGTCCGGACAGTGCAGAGGGATGTACCAGCACAACTCCTTAGAGATTTATTTCCGAGTCCAGCATGATAGCCTAGTGGCTAAAATCCTTGCCTTGAACGTGTATATGGGAGGTTAGTGCTTAGAGGTGGAGGGTTAGACAGCAGAGCCATCACACCAGCCCCAGGTTCCCAGTCTCAGACATGTTTTTAGTAATCTCACTATTGCCTTTTGTGTTTGTTACAGTTAATTTGTAAGGCTTTATCAATGCCTAGTGTCCTAAATTTCTCATCATGAGTGAAGGGTAAATTTATCATGTTTATGTTTTCATTCCTAAAATAGCAGCTAAGTCATGATGTGTTATCTCTCTATTCTCCATTGAGGATTTTTGCCATTTTTACTTACAGTGTGATAGGTCGCTCATTTGGCGTTCTAGTTAAGTCTCTGATAGATTTTTCCATAAGCACTATTGAATTGTTAAGAAGTGTTTCCTATTTTATTATCCTCAAATTAACATGGTTTATCAAATATTTGGTAGAATTCACTAATGGCCCATTGCAGTAGCCTAGCAGCTAAAGTCCTTGCCTTGCACATGCCAGGGTCCCATATGGGCACTGGCTCATGTCCTGGTGGCCCCACTTTCCATCCAGCTCCCTGCTTGTGGCCTGGGAAAGCAGTCGAGGACGGCCCAAAGCCTTGGGACCCTGCACCCGTGTGGGAGACCCAGAAAGGGCTCTGGGCTCCTGGCTTTGGATCAGCACAGTTCCAGCCATTGCTGCCGCTTGGGGAATGAATCAACAGATGGAAGATCTTCCTCTCTGTCTCTTCTCCTCTTTGTCTGACTTTCCAATAAAAATAAAATAAATCTTTAAAAAAGAAACCTTGACCTGTGTCACTAATGGCATCAGATTAGAGAATTCCTTATGTGGAATTTTTAGCAAGAAATCCAGCTTTTAGGGCTGTTGCTTTCCTGTGTATTCATTTGCAGTGGCTGTGTCTGTTTCGGTAAGTGCTAAGTTCCTAGAAGTCACTGATTCGCTCTCAGTTTCGTTTTGCCGTGAAGTTCCCGTAATATTCCCAGGAAGTGCAGAAAGTGGTAGCGACGTTTCCTGATGCAGCGGTAAACCCCACTTGGCGTTGTCAGTTACTTTGTTCTGTTTCAGAGAACACCCTTTTAAAAATTGTCTTGGATTCAGTATTCTTTCCACTTCATTTCTCTGTTCTCATCTTTATACGTTGAGAGGGGAAATCATTTGCTTTTCTTCCCCAGTTGCTTGCTTGAGATGGATACTCCATTTTTTTGTTGTTGTTGTTTGTTTCCAGCCCTTTTTTTCTTCATCTAAATATTTAAGTTTTCTATTTCGTTCGGTTCATTGGATATATGCTAGTTTTTAAAGGATTTTTTGTTTTCATGGAATGGGAAGTGTACCCCCACTCCCAGTGCAGTGGGTCTGAGTCGTGGGTTACTCTCCAGTGGTCTGGTTCGTTTTCACGTTGTGTAAGTTCGGACCCACTGCAGAGGCGGGAACCTCAGTAGCTTCTGGAAGAGACTGAAGGCTCGGGTTTAACATGAGGTCTTTGAAACAGCAAGGTTAACCTCGAAGCATCCAGCAACTGAACGTGGAGGCAGAGCTTGCAGTCTGACACCTGAGGAGAGGACAGTGTTTAGCTGGCTCTAATGTCCCCGCCCTCTGGATCCAGTGTGGTAGCTCGCCTTGCATGCGCCAGGATCCCACATGGGCGCCAGTTCATGTCCCAGCTGCCCCACTTCCCATCCAGCTCCCTGCCTGTGGCCTGGGAAAGCAGTCAAGGCCGGTCCAAAGCCCTGGGACCTGCACCCACATGGGAGACCCGGAAAAAGCTCCTGGCTTCGGATCCAGCTCAGCTCTGGCTGTTGTGGCCACTTGGGGAGTGAACCAGCAGAAGGAAGATCTGTCTCTCCTGCTCTGTGTGAATCTGACTTTCCAATGGAAAAATAAGTCTTAATAAAAATAGTATCCCTGCCTCAGGGCACGGGCCTCCTAGTTTCAGGGCTCAGGCATCCGGGGAGCAGGCGTCGGGAAGCTGGTGGTGTGAAGAAGCACCCGGGAGAACCTGGTGTTCGCTCACCCGGTTAAACTGAAGTTAGACTGGGCAGCGACCAGCAGCGCCATTGCCAGGAAGCTCACAGCACGCAGCCGGAGTGTCCCTCCAGCAAGGTGTCCGAGGACGCGGGCCTGCGGCTGCCCAGGCTCTGTGAAGAAGGCCGGAGAGGAGGCGAGATTAAACACACCCGGCTGTCCACGTGCGGCTGGCTGAGTTCCACGAGATTCAGAAAATGCCTAATATTACCTGGGTATTTCGAAATGGGTTTTCTTGCCCGTTTTGCAAACGTGTTCTGTGTATTTTGTGGTTGCTGCTAGAATGCTTTGTTCCCCTGGCTTCATACAGGCGCATGAAGGCCAGCAAAACTTCTGGGCACCTTTTGTGGGTGCTGCCCTGAACGTCACCCCTGGAAGAGCAGGGCCCCCACACATACTCTCACTCCCAGACCACCAGTTCTCCACTGTCCTGCTACTGTTTATCATCTTCAAAACCCACAAAAACTACCCACCTTTTGTCGGCTAGGGGTTCTGAAGGACCCATTGTACGGTTGCCGGAAAGAGACGTATCCAAGCCGTGTGTTGTCTACCGCGTTTTTATGGCGGAAAGCCAGTTCTACCCAAAGTTTGTCAGTTTGCTCCTGTTCTAATATCCTGTAAAGCCCATTTCCTTTGGAGATGTTAACGTGACCGGCAGCCACAGAATCTTCCCACGTGGGCGCCATTGTCTTCTTGGACTGTTGGGTGAGGATAGGTGGCTGGCACACGGGGTACAGTCTCGGGTGGGCGGGATGTGTGACCCTTTCTGCATTCCATGCGTCTTACTCTTGTTAAACACTCAGCCTCTTGACGTTTGAGGACAATCGGAAGGCAAGGAACGGATCCGGAACCCTGTGGGCGGATGCCCTGGGCACCTGGGCAAGGCAGCAGTGGGGAGGAGCTGGACTAGAGCAGACACCACTGGGTGTCTCCCATGAGGGGAGACAGTCTACTGCCTGATTTTTTCTCAAGATTTTTCTTTTGTATTGGAAAATCAGAAGCACAGAAAGATCTTCCATTTGCTGGTTTGCTCCTCCAGTGGCCACAATGGTCAGAGCTGAGCTGATCCGAAGCCAGGAGCCTGGAGCTTCTTCTGGGTCTCCCACACGGGTGCGGGGTCCCAAGGCTTTGGGCCGTCCTCGACTGCTTTCCCAGGCCACAGGAAAGGAGCTGGATGGGAAGTGGAGCAGCCAGGGCACAGACTGAGCCCATGTGCGATCCTGGCGCTCACAAGGCGAAGACTCGAGCCACTAGGCTGCCGCGCCAGACCCAACTGCCTATTTCTTGCCCAGAGGACAGGTGGGCGTTTAAAGTTTGTTGTCATGACCTTCCTCCTGTTAAAATTCTGGGTTGAGGCAGTCCCTTTTCCATCTCCTCCCTGGAGCACCCTGTGCTCTGTCGGGGCAGGAGGAAAGCAGGCGACGGGAGCTCGGGTGGTCCTGAAGCTTCCACACTGTGACACTGCCCCCGTGCCCCTGCCCTGGACGCCGGCTGCCCCCGCGCGGGCACCGGCCACTGTGGCAGCTGCTGCCTTTGCATCCGGCAGGGCTGCCCCGGGGCAGGCGCTGGCAGAACCGTCAAGAGCTCCAGCTGCCTTCGCGCCCAAGTTAAATAAAAAAAAAAAAAGGCATTTCTAGTGACGCTGAGATCCGGCCTGCCTCGAACTCGCTGTCCAAGGCCGGGCATCGCCAGCGTCTGGGTGTGGGAAAGGGTCTCGGTGGCAAGAAGCCGATTTAGGAAACCATTCCTAAGGATCGTCCTGAGATGCCAACCGGGCGCTCCGCCCCAGGAGTGAGGGGCGGGCTGGGGATTCTGGAAAGTGTAGTCCTGGGCACCCCGTGTGATGGGCCGACTTCCGCTCTCGCCGGGAATTCTGGGAAACGTAGTCCCTGAGGCTCCTGTGGGCAGAGTGGCTTCCGGCCCCAGATCTGCAGGCGGCGGCGACCTCTGTTCCTCTCGGGCAGGTGAGCGCTCCTGGTCCCGCGTCCAGGTCCGGGTCCCCGCGCCCACGCCGATCCTGCCCTCGCCTGGCCGTGGTCCAGGAGCAGCCAGGGCCAAGAGTGCATGCCCACGGCCACGGGCCGGGTTTGGGGTCTCTCGGAAGGAGGCTGGTCACGCGTGGGCGGCTGGCGCATCCCTGCTGGGGTCCCTGCTGGGGTCCCTGCTGGGGTCTGTGCAGGGATCTTGCTGGGGTCCGTGCAGGGGTGCGTGCTGGGGTCCTGCTGGGGTCCGTGCAGGGGTACGTGTTGGGGTCCCTGCTGGGTCCGTGTTGTTGTCCCTGCTGGGGTGCATTTTGGGGTCCTGCTGGGGTGCGTGTTGAGGTCCGTGTTGTTGTCCCTGCTGGGGTGCATTTTGGGGTCCTGCTGGGGTGCGTGTTGAGGTCCGTGTTGTTGTCCCTGCATGGGTCCGTGGGCTTCTACGATGCAGGGACCAAGTTCCTGGGTGCCCGTTGCCGACCTGCAGCCAGGTCCGCTGCTTCCTTGCCCTGTGGTCCCTGCGATGGCCCGGTGGGTCTGCATCTCACGCACAGGTGGGGGGCTCCCTGGGGTGGGGGGCTCCTTTGTCAGATTCCAGCAGTTCCCTGGACGCTGCCTTCGCTCCTGCTTGAGGTCCAGGCTGGAGTGTGCTGCTGGTCCCTGTGGGAAGCAAGGCGGGAGCCCAGGCCCCACGTGGGGTTTGCCCTGGGAAGGAGAGGGTCGCCCCCAGCCACGCTCTGGGATATCCCGTCCCGACCCTAGTTCTGGTCTCTCCCAGGCGCCTGCCAGCCGGAAGTGGCCCAGGCTGGAGTCCTGGCAGGAGACTGTCTCCCCAGCAGAATGGAGCACCCCCTTTCTCCTGCGTACTGCCCCCTCAGGAGAGATGTCTTATGGGCAGGTGCCCTGGTGTGTGTTGACTAAATGGGGCGACAGCACAGAGAAGGACAAAGGGAGGGGTGTGGGCAGGAATAGGAAAGTCTTCGAGCGTTTAACGGGGTGTGTGTGTGTGTTTTAAGATTTGTCTTATTTTTATTGGAAAGGCAGATTTAAAGGAGAGAGAGAAAGATCTTCCATCCACTGATTCACTCCCCAAGTGGCCACAACAGCCGGATCTGAGCCAACCCAATGCCAGGAGCCAGGAGCTTCTTCTAGGTCTCCCACGCGGGTGCAGGGTCCCAAGGCTTTGGACCGTCCTCGACTGCTTTCCCAGGCCACAGGCAGGGAGCTGGAAGGGAAGTGGGATTAGAACCGGTGCCCATATGGGATTGCCAATGTCACAGGCACAGCTTTACCCACTGTGCCATAACACCATCCCCTGTCATCGGCAGTTTGACTGTATTCCATCTGAAATGTTTGTAGTTCCTTTGTGGACTTAATGATTGATTATTGTAAAGGATTAAGGAGAGACATAAAGACAACACTCTCCCTCGTATCCACACCGCCCGGGTTCTGTGTTACTGTTAGAAGCGCCCACTCCCATTGACTAAGCGTGGTGCTGGTCTGACTGGAGAACACCAGGGGGCGCAAGAGCCGCACGCTGGAGAGCAATGCCCAGCGTGGCCGATCCATGGACATCCTGCAAGGGCTATCAGTGCGAAGTCCTGGAGGACAGAACCAGACAGGCAGGGCCAGAGCAGAGTGCCCTGAGGTCAGAGTGGACAGCTGGGGCCAGGGCCGAGCCCCATGGACAGAACCAGACAGCTAGGACCCAGCATTGTGGAATAATGGATCAAGCTGCTGCCTCCAGAGCCAGCACCCCATATGGGAACTGGTTTGAGTCCCTGCTGCTCTGTTCTGATCCAGCCCCCTTGCTGATGCACCTGGGAAAGCAGTGCAGAATGGCTCAAGTCCTTGGGGCCCTGCTACCCCAGTGGGAGCCCTGGGTGACTCTCCTGGCTTCAGTGTGACCCAGCCACAGCCACTGTGGGTAGTGCACCAGCCGACCGAAGAGATCTCTCCAACTCTGCTTTTCAAATAAACAAAATAAATATAAAAATATTTTTTAAAGATTTATTTATTTATTATTGCAAAGTCAGATATGTATAGAAGAGGAGAGACAGAGAGGAAGGTTCACTCCCTAAACAGCTGCGACAACCAGAGCTGAGCCAATCTGAAGCCAGGAGCCAGGAACTCTTCCAGGTCTCCCATGCGGGTGCTGTAGGGTCCCAAGGCTTTGGGCCGTCCTCAGTTGCTTTCCCAGGCCACAAGCCGGGAGCTGGATGAGAAGCCGGGCTGCCGGGATTAAAACCGGCACCCATATGGGACCCTGGTGGCACTTTGAGGTGAAGACTTTAGCTGCTAGGCTACCACACCAGGCCCTAAAAAAATTTTTTTAAAACTAGATGGAAAAATAGAATAGAAATAACTCATGGGGATAATCTTTCATCTCACTTGTTATTGATAGGCTACCAAATTCATGAAATGTTCCCAAGCTTTAAAGAATTGGTGAGCAATTAGTGGTTCTGTACCTTGAGCCTAAACAAGTTTCACAAGAAACCAGTTGCTATAATACTAACGTTCGGAGACCATGCCTTGTAAGAGACAGCTGGGTTCCATGTATTCCCTTATTTCTTATAACACACATATTATCGCTCCCATTTTAAAGATAAGAAAACAGTAGTAAATAGTAAACTTGACCTTTTTGGTGCACAGTTTTATGACTCACGTAGGTGTGGATGTTGTGGTCACTGCCGTGGTGGAGCAGGAGTTTGCTGACTGCACAGGGCTGCCCTCCTGTCCTCAGTGGGGCCACCGCTCATCGCACCTGGCCCCCCTGGCCCCCCTGGCCCCCCTGGCCCCCCGGCCCCCTGGCAGCTGCCCTGGCGTTCTGTCCGTTCGAGGTTGGCGCAGAAATGAGCGGGTGCTGTGCGGGACCTTCTGAGAGCGTTCTCTGAGCGACTGCCCCTGCCGGTCATCCAGCTGCTCAGCCTTGAGCGCGTGGTGTCTGTCTGCTCTTCCGCATTACAGATGGTCACAGTGTATCCGCTCACTGTGGACAGACTCCTTTCCAGGTTTTGGGATTCTGAAGAAAGCTGCCGGAAATGGTCGTGTCCGTGTTTTCAGTGTCCTAGGGAGCGTCTGTGTGTGTTTATATTTTAGTCGATCTAACAGGCGTGTGTCTGTATAGCTTGTGGCTTTTTTTTTTTTTTTGGAAAGTCAGATATGCAGAGAGACAGACAGAGAAGAAGATCTTCCGTCTGCTGACTCACTCCCCGAGTGGCTGTAATGGCCAGAGCTGAGATGATCTGAAGCCAGGAGCCAGAGCTTCTTCTGCATCTCCCATGTGGGTGCAGGGTCCCAAGGCTTTGGGCCGTCCTCTACTGCACAGGCAGGGAGCTGATGGGAGATGGAGCAGCTGGGACATGAACCAGCACCCGTGTGGGAAGCCGGTAGTACAGGTGGACGCTTAGCTTACCATGCTTTCCCTCCCGCCTCCCCCGCCGTGTGGATGTATGTAATGTCATTATGGGCCCTGTGAAGTTATCAGCTTAAACATTAGCCCGCTGTAGGGTTATGGGGCTTTGATTCATGCCTGCGGTTGCCCTGGCGCAGGTTTCTGTGGGCTGTACACAGCCCGTTGGCCAGGTTTTTCCTCGATTCCACTAACTTACCATGCATTTGAGAGAGGGGAAGTAAGTTGTGATGTTAATATTAACAATGAGAGCTGAGGGTGCCCTGCACGCTGGGCCCGGGTTCTCCAGGCCCCACATGCAGGCGCTCACGCTGCTCCTGGGACTCCACAGCGGGTCGAGGACCCAGGACCCCACGGTCCCACATGTACCACAGAGGTTGAGCACCATACCCAACAGTCAGGGCACCTGCTAGCCTGCTTGTCTGGCAGATAAAGTAAGTGGTGTGTGTTCAGATGTGCGTAAGAGGCTCAAGCAGACACTGTTGGAATGAAAGCCTTCCTGGGGCACAAAGCGTTATAAATAAATCAAATGGAAGACTAAGTAATCCAGGCAGCCGCGGAGTCCTCGGGATGTTCCTTAGGGCACAGTTGAAAGAACAAGCGATTCTTTCCCTGTAGTCCTGCGGGTGGATGAAGTTAGCATCAGGAGAGGCAGCAGGTGGCAGGTGGGAGGCAGCAGGGGGTAGCTGGCATGCGGTAGCAGCAGGCAGCAAGCAGTGGGTGGCAGGCAGCAGGTGGCAGGTGGCGGGTGGCATGCGACAGGTGCAGGCAGCTTTTCTGGTTCGACTCCATCCATGAGAAGCAGAGCAGCCTCCTGTACTTTGTCTTTTCTCAGCGCCGTCCCTCCTCTGCAGGGTCTGTGTGTGCTTGGCCTTGCAGGAGATGGTGACCTTCAGGGACGTGGCCGTGGTCTTCTCCGAGGAGGAGCTGGGGCTGCTGGTCCCCGCGCAGAGGAAGCTGTACCGCGATGTAATGCTGGAGACCTTCCAGAACCTGCTCTCCGTGGGTGAGCACAGGCGCCCTGCCGATCTGGGCGGCCACCTCCTGCATGTGGTTGTGTGTGTTGTGGGTGTGTGTGCACGCACTCCGTCCTCGTCCTCGGAGGTTGGGGCCCTCAGAGCGCATCTAGCACAGGTGTCTGGTGGTTCTCCCTGGGCCGGTCTGTCCTTTGAACCCAAAACAGGCGTATTGAGGTCCTGCCCCCTCCACTGGTTTGTCTTGAAGCAAGTTAAGTCGCGACAGCTTCCTGGTTTTGCGGGGTACTGGTTACTGGTTGTTCACCTGTTGTTGTTGTTTGTTTGTTTTGTTTTGTTTTTGCTTCTTTATCAGGCTCTTTGTAAGTAAACTCACAGCAAACTTGCAAACTAAAAGAGCTAGAAACCCCGGACAGCTCTCACCTTTCACTCTGTTTCATCTCTATTGCCCATGTCCTGTTTGGCAGGTGGCCCAAGACCCCCCTTGGGCCCAGGACGTCACCAAGCGAGGAGGCCCCCCATCTGTGGCAGAGGCCGGGGGTGTCCTGAGCTTGATGCTGCCAGGTGGCCTGGCCCAGCACGGGGACAGTGTTGGCCGTTCCCAGCAGTCACGTGTGACTGTTCCCCCCAGCCCCCAAGGGATCGCCAGCCAGGCAGGCTCCCCTGAGACTCAGCCCTGGAGTCCTGTGGATGGGCGGCTGGCCATCTGTGAGGGGCTGGCCTTGCGTGCAGCCGCCCCTAGAGGGAAAGCTTATGAGCTCGCCCCCGTTGTTCACCTGTCTGCCACGAAGCCCGGCCTCGGAGGAGGAAGACGCTGAGACTCCCAGGGACGGGGGAGATCACCTCCCGCGAGCCGAAGGCGGAGGCCGGGCCTGACTCGGCACAGCGTTAAGCTTTTACTGCAAAGTCTGTTTTGTAGAAAGGTGAATTCTGTGCTCTGAAGTGGCCCTGGCGCAGCTTGGACGCTTCTGTGTAAGCGCTTGCTTCTGACTCCTTCCTTCCTGGGGCACCCCGTGTTCTGAGCTCATCTGTCCTGGAGCTCGGCCCTGCCCCCCGATTCCTGCCCCAGGGAGCGGTGTCGCCACACCCAGGTCTGGCTGCCGGCGCGGGTCCTGGCCACCGTGGGTCTCAGTCCCTGGGAATAGAGAAGGGATGTGTGGATGTGACACATATGCACACGTTCCTGCATAGACAAACACACGTGAAGAAAGCATCCGCTTCGCTGGAAGAAAAGAAGAAATTGTAGTTAAAGCTATCCTGCCATGCCATTTCTCACCCATGAGATTTTAGGCAAAGCTGCGGGGAGTAAGGCGCCCTCACACCGCACGAGAGAATGCAGAGGGACGCGGCCCTGGAGGAGGCTCTGTGACAGCATCCAGCTGAACTGTGGCTTTACTCTCTCCCAGCCTCCCAGCTCGAGGAGTTTCCCCTAAAGATAACCGTGCGCTGAACAGCGCGGCCCATGATCAATCATCCACACAGGAGCGAGGGAGCCCGTGTGGCTGTGACATGTGCTAGCCTGCGTCAGAAGAGACCCGGGGAGGGAGGATGGGCTGGGAAATCCCGCCGCTGGTTTCCTACAGTGGGCTGGGGGGGGGATCGGTCCAGCTCCGACACACGGGGACGCCAACTGGGTGTCATCAAACCTGAACCCCTTCTCCCTCCCGCTCTGTGCAGCGCACCAGCCCTTCAAACCCGACCTGATAGCCTGGCTGGAGAGAGAAGGAAAGATCCCAGTGGTGAAGAGGGCAGGCCGGAGCCCGGGGAGCCCAGGTGAGACTCGCCACGTGGCAGCGGCCAGGCCCAACTCGGGCCCTGTCGGTTCTGTTGAAACCGGGCTCCCCACTCACCACTCAGAGGGCGCATGGAGGGTTTGGAAATCAGGGGCCCCAAAGTGTCCATCCCCTCAAGCTTCCCATGATGCACACTCCCTCCAGGCCGCCCTCGGCGCTGCCCGTCACTGCCGGTCAGCCCTGTCAGTTACGCTTCCTCAGGTGCCCTGGCCAGCTCTCCTCCCTGCTCCGAGGGCATGGACGGCTGGTGGCCGCGTGGTGTGCCATCCTCGCTCGCCTGAGCCAGCTGACAGGTGGGAGTGGATCTGAGAGACTGCAGGTGGCTGGGCTGGTGGCCTCCGGTCCCACTGCCCTCGCCGCTGTCCCTCTGTCCTCGCCGCTGTCCCACCGCCCTCGCTGCTCGTGGGGATTCACAGACGGGGGGCTGTTGCTGCTAACGGATAGGAATGGCCCGTCAGCTAAGGGGAAGGGCAGGAGTGGTTAGTGCTGACTCGGTCATCGGCCCTTCGCGCAGCAGCGTCACAGGGACACTCGTGTTCTGAGGCCCAGCTTCCCACCAGTCCCCGCGTACCCTGTCCTCCACTCCATCATGGCGTAGTTACGGTCTCGATGGAGAACTTCCAAGCTGAGCGTGCCTATGAGCCCAAATACTTTGGGAATGTTTTTTGAGTTCTCAAGATTCCAACTTCAAAAGCCGCTGTCCCTGCGGGTAACTAAGGCTCATCTATCTTAGGTAGGAAAAAAAAAAAGCAAAATGTGAAGCAACTTTGTTCCTTTCGTCAGTTGCTGGTCCGTCTCAGGTCAGTTCTTGGTCCATCTCAGGTCAGTTCTTGGTCCATCTCAGGTCAGTTGCTGGTCCATCTCAGGCCAGTCGCACAGACCCGCGAGGCTTTGCTGGCCACTTCAGGCTTTATCTTCCTTACACCATTTAAAAAATATAAAAACAAGGCCCAGTGCGATAACCTAGTGGCTAAACCCTCACTTTGCATCTGCTGGGATCCCATATGGCTGCCAGTTTGTGTCCCAGCTGCTCCATTTCCCACCCAGCTCCCTGCTTGTGGCCTGGGAAAGCAGTGGAGGACGGCCCAAAGCCTTGAGACCCTGCACCCGCATGGGAGACCCTGAGGAAGCTCCTGGCTCCTGGCTTCAGATCAGCTTAGCTCTGGCCATTGAGGCCATTTGGGAAGTGAACCAGCAAATGAAAGATTTTTCTCTCTGTATCTCCTTCTCTCTGTATACCTACCTTTCCAATTAAAGTAAAACTAAACACACACACGTGTATATGTATATATATATATTCTGTATATTCCGTTCTTTGCCCCAGGGTGCCAGTCTTCCTGCCTGATCCCTCATTTTTCTGGGTGCTCTTTTATTTATTTTGGTTTCTAACAGAGCCCCATGTAGTGGCTCTCCCACAGTGACCGAGGTGGGTCAGACTCAGATCAGGAGCCAGGAACTCCATCCGGATCTCCCGTGCGGGTCTCCCCGCGGGTGGCTAGCACCCAGCCGTCATCTGCCACAGCCCAGGGCGCACGTTGGCAGGAGGCCGGGATCTGGAGCGGGGCTGGGAACTTGGGCTTCCTACCCAGCATGCTCCGTCTGACTGCCAGGCTCCGCACCGGGCCCCCGTCCTTATCTTTAGTGTGCTAACCTTTCTCCTTCATTGATGACCTCAGGGAAATCCCTTCCGGTCTAAGGTTATCAACTCTTCCTCGGCACGGCTGCATAATATCCTAATATGTAGATAATATATGTAACAGGCTTCATGAAGACTGTTGCTTTCCCCTTCCCCCATCCAAATGTCCGTGTGTATGGGTGATGTTATTCCTCTGCCATAAGTTACCTGCTCACTCAGAGATTAAAACCACACTGCACCGGCATCAGACCCGGTAGCAGTTAGCATAGCAGCGTGCAGGAGCTAGGCCAGGTCAGGCTCACCGATTGTCCCCACAGCAGGTGCTCTTGGGTGGCTGTGGGCCACGAGTTCCACACTTCCACACCTAACCGTATCCCACCAGTGCCTTCCAAGTCTCTCACGTCTGCACCATGGCGCTTTATAACTGTGCAGTAACGCTGGCATGGAGCTGAGGCTGCTGGTGCTCCGAGGTGCTTTATATTCTGAAGAGCAGCCGCCTTGCAGACACGCCCCTTACGGTGCCTCACGGTTGAAGGCCTATGCTGCCCTTCCTCCGGCCCAGCACGCCTCCCACAATCTCACGCACACTTCACCATGCCCCTGTGCCGGGGAGCGGGCGAGGGGGTTGTTACCAGGACAGTAGCATATGGCCCCTGCAGCCGTGACCTTTCTAAACTGGGCACATCCCCTTGTCCTGCCCCCGCCGGGCCCCCATTTGCCCCAGGATAACCGCCCTGGTACCATGCTTCTGACTGGTCTAGGCATTCTGCATGGGCTACCTTGGTTTGATGCCCAGGTGGGGTGGCAGAGCGCAAGGCTGAGGCGTATAGCATAGTATGGAGAGCTTTAAGGACGCGGCTCCTGTTACCTGTTGGAGCCAATGAAAGAGCGCTGTGTCAGGATTCTTAGGACAGGCGGCGTGGGTCTTCCTCTGGTTCACTCGGGTTTCGTTTTCTGGCTCAAGTGTGCAACCCTGAAATCTGAAGGAAGAGCTCACTCGCTCCTCTTCTTCGATTTCTCAATCTCATTCTCAATTCTCTTCATGCTCGTAGGAGGCAAGAATCAAGACGGGTCGGAATGTATGCAAGGAACGGGACTCGGCCACCTTCCCTCGGCCAGGGAGCCTCGTGCCTGGCGGACCTGGCAGCCAGCTGCAGGTGCGTTAGCCACGGGCCCAGATTCCACACAGACTTGTCCAGGGAAGAGTTTGCAGCTCCAGAATCCAGGAGATGCCCCTGTCTGCGGGGTTTGGCCGGGAACACCAGCGGTGCAGATTTCTGAAAATGGCAGCTACCTGTGGACTCACACGGGGCATGGCTGCCACAATGCAGAAAACTCAGCGTCTTCCTGTTGGCCGGCCCAGCCTCCTTGGAGGAGCACGTGTCTGGCAGGGTCACGGAGCCATCGGTGTCAGTGTCCACACATTTCCGTGGAAACTCACTCTGCAGAGGGTGACAGTGGCGCCCGTTGGATCTCCCATCCGGAGCGTAATGTGGCAGGGCGAAGCCACCCTTCCCATGGCTGTGGAGAAGATCCCATGAAGGCATCATTAGTGCCCCAGCCCCCAAGGCAAACGGGACAGAAGCTGGCCCCGAGCCCTGAGCGTCCGCAAGACGACCAGGACAACAGCAGCTCTGGCGGCCGTCCGAGGTTGCACTTGGAGGGGAGGCCTGGCACATGCCAGTGGTGTGGCGACAGCTGCGCTTGTGGCTCAGCGCATGCACATCCAAGCCTGGCGAGAGGAGGCACAGGTGTCAGGGAGAGCTCACCGCTGACAGCTCCACAGAGCGGGTCTGCCCAGGACCAGCTGTGCGCATGTGACGAGCACGGGGACAGCTGCCATCAGCTGGCCTCTGCTAGCGCTCAGGAGCGTCTTTGCGCAGGAGAGACGGCCTGTGGCTGCCGCAGCTCCGGGAGAGCCTGCCCTCCTCACTTAGACCATGATGGCATCTTCAGGGTCCACGTTGTGGCGGACCCCCGTGGGGCTGAGAACGGGGACGTCCGTGAACAGAACACCTGTTTCCACGCCCCTCAGAGGAGTCACCAAGCGGGGAAGGTGTGCACAGCTGCGGGGTGTGGAGAGGGGCGCGCGTGCAGTTCAAACAGGGACCCTCAACGTGGAGATGGCCCGGCGGAGAAGCCCTCCTATGACCCTGAGGAGCGTAGTGATGCTCTCAGGCTCGTCTCCCGCGTTCCAGACCTCCCCCCAGTCGACCTCAGGGACCAGCCACGCAGGTATTACATGTACAGTAAGCACTTGGGTCAGAACTTCTATCCTCAAGGCCATGAGAAAATTCACCTTGGGGAGAGGCCTTGCAAGGAGTGTGGTAGGGCCCTCAGCTGGGGTTCCAGTCCTGAGGCTCGCCAGGACGCCCACCCCCGGTCGAAACCGCGCACATGCAGCGCCTGCGGCAAAGGCTTCAGCCACAAGTCTGTCCTCCGCGTCCCCCAGCGGCTGCACACGGGCGAGAAGCCCTACAAGTGCGCCGAGTGCGAGAAGGCGTTCAGCCGGAGCGCCTACCTCCAGGCGCACCAGCGGGTGCACACCGGGGAGAAGCCCTTCAAGTGCGCCCAGTGCGGCAAGGGCTTCAGCCGGAGCTCCCACCTGCAGGGCCACCAGCGCGTGCACACGGGCGAGAAGCCCTTCAGGTGCGCCGAGTGCGGCAAGCGCTTCAGCTGGAGCTTCAACCTGCAGATCCATCAGAGGGTCCACACCGGCGAGAAGCCCTACAAGTGTGCCGAGTGCGGCAAGGGCTTCAGCAAGGCGGCCACGCTCCTGGCCCACCAGAGGGTCCACACTGGCGAGAAGCCTTACCGCTGCGAGGAATGCGGGAGGCGCTTCAGCCAGCGGGCCTACTTGCAGAGCCACCGGAGCGTCCACTCGGGCGAAAGGCCACATGTGTGTGAGCTCTGCGGGAAGGGCTTCAGCCAGCGGGCGTACCTGCAAGGTCACCAGCGGGTCCACACCAGAGTGAAGCCGTACCAGTGCGCCGTGTGCGGCAAGGGCTTCAGCCAGAGCTCGCGGCTGGAAGCGCACCAGCGCGCGCACGCCGGCGGGAAGCCCTACAGGTGCGCGGTGTGCACCAAGGGCTTCAGCGAGAGCGCGCGCTTGCAGGCGCACCAGCGGGTGCACGCGGCAGGGCGCCCCTACAAGTGTGAGCAGTGCGGGAAGGGCTTCAGCGGCTACTCGAGCCTACAGGCCCACCACAGAGTGCACACGGGCGAGAAGCCCTACACGTGTGCGGTGTGCGGGAAGGGCTTCAGCCAGAGATCTAACCTGCAGGCCCACCAGAGGGTGCACACGGGCGAGACGCCCTACACGTGTGACGCCTGCGGGAAGGGTTTCCGCTGGAGCTCGGGACTGCTGATCCACCAGAGGGCGCACGGTGGGGAGAAGGGATGCGCCCCGGGGCAGTGCGCGCAGGCCTCGGCTGCACCCCAAGTCTGCGCGCCAGTCAGGGCCTGTGAAACGCAAGTCCCTGAGCGGGAGCTGATACTCAGTCAGCTCTAACAGTAAAAAAATAAAAAAGCTTCTGGGGAGCCTTCTTGGGGATTGGAAATGCACCGCTTCTCTCCAGCCTCAGCACTCAGGAGCCCACCCGGCAGAGACCTCCGCTGCGAAAGAGCTGTGTCAACCGCGCACGGAGCTGGAGCTCAGGAAACGCCAAGCGTGGCCAGGAACTGAACCAAGTGCAGTCAACAGGCCGACGTTCATGTCCGGTGAAATGAAAGTCCACTGAGGAAAAGGAATTTTGTTCCTTGCTAGGGCTACAAAACTCAATGAAGATTTTGCTAAAGGAGTAAAAGAATATAAAATATTTATCATGTTTGAAGATTTTATTAGACTCACTTAAAGATTATTTAAAACGTATTTGGAGAACTATGAGTTCTTGACATAACTTTAGACACATGATTTGACATGTGGAAACAGGAAACACGTGAGTTTGCGTGGCCCCTCCTGGGGTTGGCTCCCTCCCTTAAGTGGGAGCGTGCCGCGGTGGCCAGCCACTGGGCGCTTTCTCCTTGGTCCTTGCCAGTGGGGATGCAGCGCCGTGCACCCGTGTGTGTACACCTGTGCGCTGTGCAGGCTGCGTGAGCTGACAGTGTTTCTGGATAGCTCAGCAAAGATGCAACACTCCATTTTTGCATAACTGATTTTTTTTTGACTCTTGCTCTGTGTGCTGAATGCAGAGTTTCACTGTAGTATTTGGAACATTCTAGAAATGATTCCTGATGACAGATCATTTTCAATAAATGTGGAAGTCACAATGCTTGGATCGTTTTCGTCTCTGTGTTTTGACCAAAGTCCATTTGCTCTTATTCCCAAGGGCTGTCGTCTTTGTTCACTGCAGACCTCTTGAAAGAACCTGTGACAACTTTGAATTTGGCATACCTCTCCCACTCACACCAAAAAGAGGGAAAGTTTTGAATTTTTAAGCATTTTTAATCAAATAGTTTTATCATGAAGAGAACTATTTACTAGCTGGTTTCTTTCTAAAAGAACAATATGTTTTGTTGGTGAGTGAAAAATACAAGCTTGTTGTCTAATATATGTCAAAATACATACATGAAATTCTGCTTATGTATCCATGTGTAAAGCGTGGCTAACCACACGGAGATTCCAGACTCTAGTGTTTAAGCAGTTTTAACTGACAAAAGATTGTGCAATGAGAGTAACCTTTTACAAACTAGAAATAAATGCCCAATCCAAAGGAATCTGGATTACATTTCTGTTGAGGTCTTGTGGGTCTGAGCATCTATAAAAATAAGGTGAAGGTCAGGACAGGGCAGATAGACACGGAACATGTGCTGTCATCCCCCATACACAGATTGGCGTGTCATTTGAAGACAGGTGGCGAGAACTGTAAGTTCCTGTGTTAAGCTCTAGGGCCCCGCTCAACCCACGAGCTGTCAGTGCAGTTACACGGAGGCCATCAAGGGCACTCTGGGAAAGCCGGCCGGGAGCGAAGAGCACTCGGCACCCGCAGGAAACAGCAGGACCGCTGGCCCAAGTCCAGTGACGTCAGTGTTACATGAAATATAAGTGTTCTAAAATCACAGAGGTTGTCAATTTGGATTAAAAAAGCAAGACCCAATGAAATGTGTACTGTAGCCATCTGCAGGGAACAATGTTGGAAGCTACAGTATCTGATTACAGGATTTAAAAGGGTTTTAACCAAGACGATGCATGGCCCCGTGTCCTTGATATCTGTGTGAAGATTCGCTGTCGGTAAGTAGTTGGTGGCTTCTGAGTCTGTGTCTCTGTTTTAAGCTGATATTGCTTGCATTATTTTATCCCTTTTTATTGCAAAAGCAGATCTACAGAAAGAAGGAGAAACAGAAAGATATTCCTTTTACTGGTTCACTCCCCAAATGGCTATGGTGGCCGGAGCTGAACTGATCCGCAGCCAGGAGCCAGGAGTTATCGCTCAGTCTCCCACACGGGTGCAGGGCCCCAAGGCTTTGGTCCGTCCTCTGCTGCTTTCCCAGGCCACAAGCAGGGAGCTGGATGGGAAGTGGGGCCACCAGGACTTGAGCCAGTGCCCATATGGGATGCCAGCACTTGCAAGGTGAGGATTTAGCTAAGCCTTTGTGCCAGACCCAATACCCTCTTAATATAGTCTGAAATTATAGAGTGTGATGCCTCCAGCTTTGTTCTAGAGCTTGCTTTAGCGTCTGTCATTGTCCCCTAGGAATGTTAGGACTTGTGTGTTTCCATTTTGTGGAGGACAACCTTGGGCTACGACAGGAATTGCACTAAATCCCAAACGCAGGTGTTGCTTTGGGTCATCTGGCCATTTTAACAACAAGACTTTATAGTTTCCATGGACTTGCATTTTTTGGAAACTTTATTTCATCAATACTTTATAGTTACAGCTCTTTCAGTTACACCACTTTTACAGTTTCTTTAAGCTCTTGCTTAAGGCCCCCCATGGATTTTTTCTCATGTCATCATAATGGAATCTTTGAAATTAGAAGCAGGGATGCAGATGTCTTAGCTGATTAATTGCAATTTTTTTAAAGATTTTCTTTTAATTTATTTGTTGGAAAGTCAGATATACAGAGAGAAGGAGAGACAGAGAGGAAGATCTTCCATCCAATGATTCACTTCCCAAGTGAGTGCAACGGCCGATGCTGTGCTGATCCGAAGCCAGGAGCCAGGAACTTCTTCTGGGTCTCCCACGCGGGTGCAGTGTCCCAAAGCTTTGGACCGTCCTCCACTGCTTTCCCAGGCCACAAGCAGGGAGCTGGATGGGAAGTGGAGCTGCCGGGATTAGAACCAGCGCCCATATGGGATCCCGGGCGGGTTCAAGGCAAGGACCTTAGCCGCTAGGCCACGCCGCCGGGCCCTGCAATTTTTTAACATGATGGGACAGGAAGGGCCAGCAGGAACTCCAGGGGCATTGTACATGTTGAAGGGGCTGGAGGAGGGAAGAGGGGTTTGTAGAGGAACCCAGCTGATGAACCTCCAGGGCTCCTGACCCAGGACCCACCCTTCCAGCCCACTCCTCCATCCCTTGTGCATTGGACCTGCTCATTCTTACACTGGAGTGCCTGGCTGGGAACACCCACAAGGATGTGACTCCACTCTTGGGCCATGGAGAAGCTTCCAGAGAGAGCACCTGGGGTGGGAGGGGCAAGTGCGTGGGAAAAGAGGGGGTTCCAGACAGAGACCAGGGCTGGCTGGCATGATAGCTCAGTGGCTAAATTCTTGCCTTGCAAGTTCAGGGATGTAACATGGGCACCAGTTCGTGTTCTAGCTGCTCCATTTCCCTTCAAGCTCCCTGCTTGTGGCCTGGGAAAGCAGTGGAGGACGGCCCAAAGCCTTGGGGCCCTGCACCCGAGTGGGAGACCAGGAAGAGGCTCCTGGCTTCAAATCAGCTCAGCTCAGTGGTTGCAGCCACTTGGGGAGTGAACCAGCAGATGGAAGATTTCTCTGTCTCTGGCCCGCTTTTTTTGTAAAATCTGCCTTTCCAATAAAAAAATACACCTTTAAGAAAGAAAAAAGAGAGAAGAAGTGAGTGGACAGAGGTGTTCAGGAAGAGCCGAGCCCGGAAGGGGAGCCTGGGAAAGGGCTTTGAGAGAAGTCAGGGCCAGCACAGGAGAGCTCCACCCTGCACCAGGAGTGTTTCTCGCTAAATATCACTGGTGCTGTCAGGGCTCCCTGCCACACCCCGCGTGGAGGAGAAGGCAGCCAATCCCGGAGTCAGTGAGAGTGAACTGAGAGCCCGTGGTCCAGCAGGTTCAGCTGCTGTTGGCTAAGCCAACATCCCAAGTTGGAGTTACTGGTGTGGCCACTCTGCTTCTGTCCCGGCTCCCTGCTAAGGTCCCTGGGAGGCGATGGAAGATACCCAATGTCCTGCATCCCTGCGCCCCTGCCATCGTGTGGCAGCCCAGGGTGAAGTCCCTGGCTGTTCTGGGCCCAGCCCTGGCAACCACTGCAGGCGGCTGAAGAGTGAAGTTGCTTGTGGTCGAGCTCCCCGCTCTCCCACGGAAGTCCTCGCCTCTCTGTGAAAAAGAATTCGCTGACTTGGGGGGTGATCCAGCAGGCCGCCAGGGTTCTCATCGCGGACTCGAGCGGCCATCTGCTTGGCCCATCGAGAAGAGCGTCCATGACCCGTGCTGTCCTGGGGTGACTCGAGGGGTGGGAAATGCCAGGTGCTGGCCGAAGCTCCGCCAGCAGACCCACTGGAGCCCACCTGACCATCATAAACTCCCTAAACAGCCAGGCACCCTGACCAATCAGAGGAAGGCCACACACTCCGCGGACCAATCAGGAACCTGGATGCGAGCCACTCACGCGCCTCGCAGCCCCACGTGCACCTGCAGGAACCTCGACCTTCAGCTGCTTCGGTAAGGGCTCCTGGCTCCGCGCTTAGCAGTAAACAGGCTCCCCAACCCCTCACCCTCACCCCGGCCTGCCCTTCGCCGGGGTCAGTGAGCAGCTTCCTGCGGACGGGCAAGCAGACCCAGTCGTGGGGTCTTCTGGCAAGGCCCCCAGCCAGTTTGCGGTGTCGTTTGGAATCAGCTGGGCTTGCTTGGCCAAGGAGCGTCTCTTACTTTCAGCTAAGCCATCAAAAAGCCTAGCGCGTTCTGGCCTTTTCCAGAGTTTCCCCACGGCCTTCTCGCTCTCTGCCTGCCCTCCTGCCCCTGAAGAAGGAGGAGAAAGGGACGGTTCCAGGTAGGGGGGATTTTTGCAGCTCATTTTGGTGGTGGATACATCTTCAAGTCCTGGAGGGGAGGAGAGGCTGTTTCGTGTTTGCAGTGTGCCACAGGTGTGCCATCGTTTTCTGATTGTGCTTTGCTTTGTTTGTTTGTTGTGGTGGTTATTTTTTCACTTTGGTTTCATACGCCGTAGTTGAAACATGAATAAAAGAGTCTGCATTATTGGCCTGGCTTACAAGCCAGCCGTGCTCAATGCTGGTCTTGAAATAGGCACATTCAATGGCGACGCAGCCACGATTTGGAGGCCAGCTTTCCTAGACTGTGACAGGAGTATGGTTGAGCTTTGGCACGCGCGTGCACACACACGCACACACACACACCTGCACAGCTCACAAGCGGAAGGCGGAAGTGCAGGGAGCGATCTGGGGCGCCCTTTGCCAAGGCCGGCTTTAGGATGTTGTCCTCCTTGGAGGCCCAGCCGGACAGCCCTTGGTTGCATAGCTTGGCTTGGCCCTGCAAGTGGAATCCTACAAGGAGCGGTCCCTTGTGAGCGCCCGTCTTGACAAGGGAATGTCTTCGTTTTGTGGAGTGTGGCATGGTTTGAGTCCTCTCTCTGGTGAAGACTCTCTAGCTCATCAGACACTCTGTTGGTGAGCTGCTGTTTCCACCCTGGGGCTGCCGCGTGCGGCTCAGGCGGCGTGTGAGCTCTCACGTGGACGCCCATCTGCATGTCAGCAGGTGCATCCTATGCAGGTTCCCCTTCGCAGAAGTGCTAGCTCGTTTTCCAAGCGATGGCGCCATCTGCCGCTGCCTTGCTGTATTGAGGCGTGAACTGATATCTTACAGTGATACGAGCTGACATCTTTCTAATGACTAACGTGCTCGTGTCACAGTTTTTAACTGAATTCCAGGCTGTGCTAATGCAGAGTGCCACAGTTTTGATTGTGGCCGCTCTGAGTGGGAGTTGGGTATTGTGATGCATTTCATTGTTGTTGTTGTTTAAAAGATTTATTTATTTATTGGATTCTTGGTTTATTGGTAAGGCAGATATACAGAGAGGAAGATCTTCCATCTGATGGATCACTCCCCAGGTGACCGCAACGGCCGGTACCA